TCTCTCTCTCTCTACTATCCACGCATGAGTGGAGCTAGGTAAATGAAGTGCCTTTCCCAAGGACACGCACAGAGACAGGTCAAGCAACACCTCGAACCCCCGAACCCACAACCTCTTTAGTTTTTAGTTTTACTGGGTTTCACGGCACTTACAACACACTTAGGTCACATAAATGCCGGAGATTAGAGGTGTTACAAGATAGTAACAAACACATAACGGAGGAGGAGAGATACAGGAAAGAAAGAGCAAACCACACCAGAGCAACTGATAAACACCCATACCCACAAACTCAGGATTACGAGTCCGGTCGCCTAACCACTAGACTACCCACATTTAAAAAAAAAAATTTTAATAACGACAATGACACAATAAAAAAAGACAACAACAGCAATGCTATTATAACAATAACGGCGGCCATTCAATCTTAGTTTAGTTTTAGTACACAATAGGACCATATAAGAGCCGAAGATTAGAGGTGTTTCAAGAGAGTAACAAACACAAAAAAGAAGGAGGGGAGATAAGGACGATAGATGTTTGATAGGAAAGAAGAAGCAAACCACACCAGAGCACCCGTAAATCACCCACGACCATTCAATCTAAAAATTACAACAACAACAACAACAGCAATAACAGCAAAAACAATAACGACTAAAACAATTACAGTAGTACACACAATCCAAACACATACCGTCTGAACCGGTTAATCCACTATTCCACACGGCATCTATGATATCCACAGCCACGGACGGTCGTCTTTTGTGTCCAACCTGTCAGCTCAGATCCAGACACCAACACAAAAACGTCAGTCGAAACTAGTTAGCTAGAGACTTCCAAGACAGACAGGCAGACAAAGACACACTCACATCCCCATCACCAAAGCGGCGACAACAAGGGTGTGTCAAAAGTGTGTACGCTCACTTGAGTCAAGAACCTGCAACAACAACACATTACGAAACACGACGAGTAACACACTTCTTACACTTACGCCACCAAAATACCGCCCACTTGAAACTTGTAAAGAGAAGAAGAAACACCAAGAACAAACAAAAAAAAAAAACAACCCTTCTCGAAACAATGAACCATAAAACGTACCAACTGTGAGGATATTCAGGAATGCCTGCTCGTAGCAGCGAAGTGCATGCGCGGCATTAAGCGAGAGATATTAGACACATGAAAAGAAGCGATGTTTTGAAAGACACGCCGTAGATATGAGGCGGTTGCCTCTAAGTTAGAGAAACAATGGAACAAACGGACCAGAGCGAAATACGCACGCGCCGATGCGCACCAGGCGGAGGGAGGGTAGGAGGGAAGGTAGCCAAACACAGGACGGGACTGAAAGCGAACCTTGAATAGGGGCATGGGCACAGGTAGGGGCGCACACAGAGAGAGGGGGGGGGAGAGAGAGAGAG